GCAGCCAGGAAACGACTGAGTCGTGTCCTCAAGAGCGGGGTACCTCATGAAACCGCCTTGCACCAAATTCTTGAGCGGCGTACCCAAAATTATTATCTCATCATACCGCGTATCTATCTATCTGAAGTATACAGTTCATTTCGAAAGGTGAAAACTGGAAACAGTAATAAATCACAATTTTTTCAGTCTCAGTCAAAGCCGTTCATCTCTCAGACTCCAAGAATCGCTCTAGGCACCCATACTACACACATTATCATTCGAGAATAAGAGATTGAAATTCTTTTGAGAAGCAATCGCGATCGTTTTCCCAAAAGTCGATCAAACCGAGTGGGCATCGCACTTCCTCGAAAACCAGTCCTGTAAATTAGTTCTGTCCGGATAACGACCGGCCAGCGGAAACGGTAATTTCGCCCCGGGGAGCTCCTAAATCCGGTAATCTCCAGGAAAATCTATTTAATAACGATGATTGTCGGCTTTATCAATCACCCGGTGGGAGAGTAGACGGATGAAAGGAAGGTGGTCTGTTGGAATGACACTCGCCCTCGCCCTGTTTGCGCGATGGTTTAAAACTCGTTAAAACGGACTTTTGCCAATATGAGTTATTCAAAAATATTCGTGATATTTTGGGTGAGGTGCCGATTTTTTATTGAAAAACCTACTTACTCGTTTGCCCATTATACGTTTTATTATCACTATGATCTATTTGTAAATAAATGACAGAAACTCAAAGATTATTCACGAGGTCTTTACGAACAAACATGGCAAACACATTGGAACACATTTACTACCAAACTAAATACAATCCAACCCACTGTTTCTGCGCTGGACCTGCCCCCAATGACAAGAAAGGACAAAAGTGTTATAAGAAGACTCAGAATAGGCCACTTCCGTCTCACCCATGGTTACCTGATGTCTTCACAAAATCCCCCTACTTGTAAAATTTGTGGTAATGCAAGACTCACAATTGAGCATATACTTTTAAATTGCATACACTACAGCCCAACTCGCCACAAATACAAACTCAGTGGAACTCTCAAAGACATTCTCGGCCTAACCTAACCAGCTCAGTATAGTAATACAGTGTCTCAAAGACTGACGACTGTTTAATTTAATCTAATTGTTATGTTTTGTATTATTATGTAAACAAATGTATCACAGATCCCGTGTCAGTGGCTATTAGATGCCGAGACACGTTATTATCAATTAAAAAAAACTAACTCACCAGAAAACTACTAAAATTACACTTTCTTTTCTCTATCGCATATTTTGGACCTTTATCACTTGCCACTTCCATTGTATTTCATGAAAAATTATTTTTTTTCTGTGATCGATGTAACTCTCAGCTACTGTTGTAGACTTCCATCCTCCGTGCTTCTTAATATCTGTTATATTTACTCCTGATTCTGCTAGCAAAAAAGCAGACCTTCTGAAACAGTGACCTGTATATTCCTTTGGTTCCCGGAAGGTTCAGAAACTCAGCAATGGTAGAGGGCATGTTTCCAAACGTGTTTATACCAACTGGGTTAGCACTGCATTTATAATTTGAGTTTTTCAAAAGAAATGTTGATGATTGATAACAGAAGGGCGTAATGCAATGTATCTATTAAAATAGTCAATGTTTTTTCCAACAATGCAAAAAGAACGACCTATTTTCGTTTTTGTATTTGGAACTTGAACAATCAATGATTCATCCATTCATGTAATGTCTTCTATTGATAAATAGCACAGCTCTTCACGCCGACAGGCTCCATATATTCCGAAAATAGTAGCAATTTTTATCGTCAAATATTTTCCACCTGGCGCCTCATTTATAAACCTCTGGATTTGTTCAAACGTAAGAGTTTTTGATTTTTTGGGCCTATAACTATCATTTTTATGCTTTAAGAATGCTATTATCTTAAAATATTCGCTTGTATTAACACCATTTTTAACGAACGCACTCGACAATTCTCACCCTTTTGAGGCATTCTACAATGGGTTATTAGAAAATTTTAATAAATCATTTCCTCTACAAAAAATCAAAATAAAAAATAGAAAACCCTGGTTGACTAAAGGTATTAAAATCTCTGCCAAGAACCTAAGATCATTACATTATGTAAGAAACTTTATAGATCCTAACCAAACTTCATTTATCAATTACTATAATAAATATAGGTCAATTTACAGAGTTACTTTGAAGCATGCTAAGCAGATCTACTACAAACATAGACTAAATATAGCAGGAAATAAATCTAAGGAAAGCTGGTCCATTATCAACGATCTCAGAGGAAAATCTAATAAACATTCATCCGAAGTAGGCTTGTATCCCATTTTGTTAAATAACTTCTATTGCACCATAGCGGACAAACTCACCGAAAATATATCATCAACTGTTAATCCCTTAAATTTTCTTTCCAATATTGACATATCAGAAAGTTTCTCTCTCTATGAAACAAATCCCGAGGAAATAATAGCAGTTATCAAAAATATCAAAAACAAGAATAGCAAAGGTATAGACGATATTTCTGTTAAAATTTTTGAAAATCTACCTTATTCAACCTTAGTGGTTTTATCACAACTCATAAATCAGTCTTTTGAATCTGGCGAGTTCCCATCGTTTCTGAAGACATCTCTCATAATCCATTTGTATAAGGGTGGACCCAATGATGACCCTTCCAACTTCCGGCCTATAGCACTTATTCCTACCCTTGCTAAACTCATAGAAAAACTAGTGAAAAGCAGAATTTTATGTTTTTGCAATGATAATAACATCCTTACTTCTCGTCAATTTGGATTCCAAGCAAATAAGGGTACTAGTGATGCTATGTTCTCTCTGTTAGAAACGATATACTCCGAATATAACGCTAAAGAAGCAGTCGCTGCTATTTTCTGTGCTCTATCGAAAGCTTTCGACTGTGTCAACCATGAGATCCTTCTCAATAAGTTGCAACAGTATACTCTCCACTGGTTTCATTCGTACTTATCAGGTCGCAAACAGGTAGTTGAAACAACCGAGTGTTCCTCTGCTCAAACTATCAAATGTGGTGTACCACAAGGATCGATCCTTGGCCCAATTTTGTTTCTTATCTACATAAATAACTAAGCTTTTATAGATATAACAGTCACAATTACTCTCTTTGCTGATGACACCACTTTATTATGGCACAACAAGGACATTCCTACCCTTCAAGATGCCATCTCAGCTGACATCAACAAAATCAAAGAATGGTGCGACTGCAATAAGTTATCATTTAATATCAATAAAACTAGCATATTTACTTTCCACTGCAACTTACCTGAGATCTGCTTTGGTGACAAAATCTTACACAGGGTACATAACTATGAATTTCTAGGGTTGAACATTGATGATAAACTGAAATTCAAAAATCACACAATAAACTTAAGCAAGGGGCTTGCCTCAGGTTGCTATGCACTAAGAGTGATTTCTAGAGAACTAGGCTACTCCCATTCAAGAACAGCTTATTTCGCTCTAATAGATCCCCATATTGAATATGGAATTGCCTTCTGGGGAGTCTGTTCTAGAGATTTATTTCAAATGATTTTTGTGCTCCAAAAAAGGGCTGTCCGATATATGTGCAAAGCAGCTCCCAGGGATCCATGCAAGCCTCTTTTCATAGCTCACGGTATTTTATCAGTAGCTGCCCTGTTTATCTTGGAATCAATTTGCTTGATAAAAACAAATTATTCTTGTGCATCTCCCCCTTCCTCATATAATACTTGTAGCCACAATAGTAACATAGATCTGCCTATTCCTGCGAGCTCCCTTGTTAGGGATTCAATTATATTCAACAAGATCAAACTGTTTAACCACTTACCAGCCGGAATTAAAGAAATTATAGTGCTTAACAAATTCAAAAAAGCAGTTAAAATGCTACTTGTTGATAGGGCCTATTATTCAGTTCAGGAGTATCTTGAATCCCTTGAATCTTAACTTTTATTTCTATGTCTTATCATTTCCACCTGAATATCTCAGTGTATTTCACATTTTTAGCTTATGTTTATTGTATTTTGTTTAAATTGTGTATGTTTCTTTATGTAAATTTTTGTATCTTACAATTATTTTATGACTTTGTCTACAAGATGTAGTTCTTCAAACAATAAAGTATATCTGATTGATTGATTGATCGACTTTATCATTAAAAACTTGCTCCACAAAGTTGACGAGTTCCATATTTTTGATTGTGCTTCTAGATAAGCTAAGAAGAAGGTTTCGCTGAAATTTCCCTCGACGTTTTTGAGTCTACACCGGCTAATAAAATTTGAATATGCGATGTCGTATTGCTGAGCCGATTTTTTTTGGTAACAATTTAAAAAACAATTCAATATCGTCAGGAACATATGTAAGATTTTCTTTGAAAGATTTTCAAAAGTCTTCATTACGTATTATATATTATTACATGAAAATATATATTTATATTCATCAAAATGATACATTTGTTTTGTCCACGAACATTCTCTATTTATGTGTATTTTTTATGTTGAAATTCAAAAAAAATGTTAGCATAACCTTCTACACTGCTGCATTCCTATTATAATATTAAATCAACTTTCTCGATTATGTACATTTCTGAAAATTAAACCTCTCAACAATCATATTCGTGACAACTTTCATTACAAGAAACTATCCGAAAGAGAAATTCATTACCCAATCAAGATTATATTCATTAATATCGTCGGTAAAACAACACATTTTGTCGGCTTCCACAGAAAACAATTCCGCGAATAGTCAAGGTGGCAGAGAACCGCTCCGATAGCTGGAAATAAACGTGGTGGGTTTTTCGATGAAATGAAGCCTTTCAAGCGCCAAATAATTGCTAGAGAAGACCACCATAAATCTTTTCTGTTAGTAGAATCACTATCATCGACGATCGATTTTCTTAGTATACTGGACCAGAAAACGAGTCCTTATATATATTTAATACAAATAAATTGTGTGGGATGAACGACTGATCAGAAACTAAAACAGATGAATATGTGAGTATGTGAATGAATCAACTCACCTTGTTCGTCTTCATCTATTTCGTCATCAAATTCTTTACATTCCACGTTCAAAGGGCTACTCGATCTCCCAGTTACGCTGTGCCGGAGGTGTGCTATGTATTTGGCAAGAATTGTACCTGTAAAAAGAAAAGTAAATAGTTTTTCGAACATTTGTCAAATGACAAGATGATCTACAGGTCGCTATTATGATTAGTATACACCAACAACCACCAACTTAACAATTACCGACTCAACAATCACCTACACCTTCAACAACCAACTTTATACCTCATATACAGGGTATTTCTTTAAGCGATTCCTACCTTTAAATTGAAATATAACGTGTGTGAGATATCACCTTAATTGTTTATTCATTTGAAAGAATATGTGTGATTGATGACTTGTTTACTTTATGGTAATTCACGATCACTTAAATGGAATGAATAAAAAACACTTTTGTCTAAATACCACTGGTAGATTTTATTTATACGACCGGTTTCGGGTTTGACCCCATTATACTTGATAATGATAGGTGAATTATTAGTCAGCCGGACACAGCGTTTACAAATAATAAAATTTATTAATAACACCAAAAAAACGACAAACAAAAATAACAGTGTAACTTCGTGAAGAGGAGCATCAGAATTAGGATTAGTTCCCGTTCTGAGTCGATGCATGAGCCGATGCATAACATAAAAATCCAAGCAGATAGTTATTTTGAACGCCTGGGCGATAAAAGAATTATGAAAAGTTAATTTCCTAACAAGTATTTATAAATAGTTAAATAGTTGTTAGAAAAACCCTACAACTCTTTTCAACAAATATTTTTTAAATTTGTATTTAATCTATGGGTTATTCTCAACTTTCTGAACTGTTTTTATTATCGACTCCAAACTGTACGAAATATATCAATCCTACCTGACCTGGAACTACCAGCTTTGACTTCGAAATCTGTTCTGCTCAAATCGCAAATCTCGGATCCCGTTCCGGGAAAATTTTCTGGGTCCGGTTTCGGTTGAAGAGAGAATTTCCTAGTACTCCATTCTAACCAGGATTTAATGTGGGTGCTGGTCCATTCTAAAGGATCTGAAAACAATGATACTTCTACAACTTCTATACTGACATTATAAATGTGAAAGTTTGTGTGTCATTAGTCATTTAGTCGTGGCTCTTCCACGACTAAATGACTGAACGGATTTAGATGAAACTTTACATTAATATAGTTTATACATCAGAATAACATATAGGCTACAATTTACAAAGGTTTCGTGTAATTTTGGTCGTAATATAATGATAAGTATTAAGTAAATCGAAAAAATTCTTGCTCCCTGAGAGCTATCTTATGGTGGGCTGTCCATACCGTTGGAGTTACAAGCAGATATTGTGCCGTAAGATTGTTTATCCTAAATAGTTCCAAATAAAAGTTCGAGATAGCACATATCTAGTTCTTATGTGGTAGCCACTTTATGCAAAATACTGAGCCATAAATACAATTAAATTGGGTACTTTTTTTTTAATGCACATTTCTAAATATCTGTCAAATTCTCATAAAAATTGATACAATTGACGTTTCGAGTATTAATATAAGGTGAAGTGGGGTAAATGTGATAACGGGGTAATTGTGATAAGGCGCAATAATTTATATTCAAATTCATAATTGATGCTGCCATCTATCTTACAACTCTTCAAGCTTGTATACGGATAAATACGACACTAGACCGGGGCTCTCCAAACTTTGAAGCCTTCGGGCCATAATGATTTTTTCAGTTTGTTTCAAGGGCCAATTTCTGCCCTTAACTATATTTCTAGACTAGGATAGTCGCAAAGTGCGTGACCTATGCAAACTTACGCTTTTTTGAAGGGGTCGCCGA